ACATTGCTAGCTTCCTCTTTTTCAAATCTGGTCAAGTATTCGTAAATTTTTCGTAACTGTCCGAGTTACCATTCATTTTCAATTTATTACAAAATTTAAATTATGTTTTATTGTTATTTTATACTTTTGTTGTCCGTTTTTATTTTGATTTACACAAACGTCTGAAAATCTTAAATGTCAAAATGTCAAATGCCAAAATACATAAATGTCAGTCAAAGGTGTCTAGATTGTGAAAAACTACAAAAATCAAGTTTAGCGGCCCTATAGGGCCCTATAGGGATGATATATATTATTTTCGGTCATATTTTTAGGTTTGATATGATTCATTTTTATATGTGCTGGGCGAAAAAATATTATTTTCGGTCATATTTTTAGGTTTGATATGATTCATTTTTATATGTGCTGGGCGAAAAATGCTTTTTTAATTGTAATGGTATGTTTGGCATCTGAATTAAACATTTTTTTAAAAACCTTACATAATGTCTTTTAAGTAACTAAAATGGTGTTTATAAAACATGAAACATAACCCAAGCAACAATTTAAGTATTTGTTACGTATATGGGACTATTGAAGAAACTTTAAAGTGTTTTGCGACAGTCGCCGGTCTCTTTATATTACTCTTTCATTACTAAGTTACGACTAAAGTGGGGAACAATTATTGAGTTCCAAAAAGGTAGCAAATATGTAACTAGCTATAAACCCTGCTACTATTTGGAACGTAGCTGCTACGTTACTAGAACGTTCCAGTATCGTTGCTAGAGCGTTATAATTACTTTTATTTATTTGTTTTTACTTCTATATTAACTGTCTTTGTCAAACTTATATTAGATTATACTATCCCTCCCTTTTAAATGGAACCAATACGGACTTGGCTTTTCAATGTCGTCGTTTATTAAATATGTACTGGTAGTTTATAACTACCTAATAACAATATAATGTTTAATTAGGCAGGTAAATTTATAAACCCTTTAAATTTTACTGTTGAACTTATGAATTTAGTTTTTGTAAAATAAATGCGCTTCATCAATATTTAAGTATAAACAAATTATTTATTTAATAATGTTTATAAATAAAAAAAATTTAATATTTATTATTAATTTTTTGATTTCATTATTAATACCGTCTATTGCCAACAAAATTACTATTTATTAGAAAATAAACAACCATTTACAAACAATTAAAATAATTTATTATTTACATTACCACGTGGTACTGTACAGTAAAAAATGGCCGATAAGAAGCATTTTCCTTTGAAGTAGTTTTCGCTACTTTAAAGTTTTTTCCACTTTACGGTTGTTTTGGTTAGTACCATAAACGTTCCAAATACTAAAATAATAACTTTTAAGTTATTAACTTTGTAGTTTTTAACTCATGTTCCAGTTTCGAGATTTTAACTTGGAAAGGGACTACAAACTAAAAATAATTATAATGTAATCTTTAGGTAGCAACCGAAAGTAACTGCTACAAATTAAATTTACTTGAAAGTTTTTTTTACTTATAACACCTTTTTTAAAGTTGCAAAGTCTTCTTGGGGGCAACCAAGTTTTACTTAAATGTTTATTACTTTATAGTAACCATTTAAGGAAAAATTAAGTTACTTTTACAAAATATTGCTATTTAAAAGTTAAAATTACTTTTAAGTAAAAATTAAAGTAGCTGTTTAGTATACTTAACTAATTTAAAGTTATCACCACTTTGGCAATGGTTTTTGGAACCAAAAATGCTGCTTGGGAATACACTATTAATTATACAAGGTACTTATGTTATTATTATGATGTTCAAACTGACATTGTTTTAGGTCAAATGACTAAATATAAATATATAGAATTTTATGTACTTAAAATTGTAGATATTAATATTTTATTACATAAAAAATTTTTATTTACATACAAACTAAAAAATAATTAAATTACCATTTTACTCACGAATTATAATAAGGTAGGAGCGAAGCTTGCGAGCAAGTTTCCTGAAAAGTTTATAAACAAGTTGCATGCTATAACTTTTCTACGAAAAATACATATTAATATAACAATTTACAACTTCATGAAGATAGATGCATCTATAGAAAATCAAATTAATCAAAGTTAGTAATCTGTTTTACCGACTAACATATTGCCAGTTTCCTTGAAAATGAACTAAGAACCGTTTAAATCCGAAATAGAAGCAGTTTTTTACAGGAAACTATTTTATTATTGTATTTTTGTTATTTAATTTTCTACTTTATTTGATATTTCATAAATATACGCTAAAGAAGTATCGCTAGTAGCGCCACCACTCGGCTGTTCTCATCGTAACAAAAGTAGAACTTTTGATAATCAGCTGTCAAACGCGTGTGTTACAAACGAGTGTTTTTCAGAATAATGCCGAAAAATGTTAAAAAAATATCGAAAAAAAAAAACGTGGGTCGATTTGTTGTGTTGTTGGGTGTATTTCAAGAGGAAATCCTGGGTTGAGTTTTTATCGGTTTTCCAATAAACAGTGTTAATCCGAATGAAGAAATAAATTTCATACAGCCCCTGTAAATATAAATTGTATCTATTAGATACAATAAATACACATTTTAGTAGTGATTAACGTGAAAAGTGTAAACATTTCAATTCAGTAATAATCGTCGTACAAATAAATCGTCTAAATTTAAACAGAATTAAGCATTAATAAAATCGTTGATTAAGAATTCTTTAGTCTCCACTCAACGGTAAAATACCATTATATTATAAATAATATTATGTTGCAATGAATTCGTAGGTTTTTTAGAGAACTCAAATATAAAAATGGTTGATTTTAAGGTTATGTTTGTGCAAAAATTATTTTTTACTTATGTCCAAACTTAAATATAAATTATATTAGGTAAAGTTATCATTAGTTATTCTGCACCAACAAATGTACTTACCGAATTGGATCCTTTGGCAAAACATGAAAATGCAACGATTTAGTTCTTGAATTTTATTTACAATGAAAAACACAATAATTCACCATGATCCCCTAGATAAAATACACACACTAACGTAACTATATAAGCATGTAAGCGTTGAGTTTCTTAATCAATTATATAAGGAATAATCATATATTATATCACGAAAACTATGAATTTAATTGGTTAAACTAGGCTCAGTAGTTTTTTGTTTGTTTTTTCTTGGAAAATGTTGAAAGCAAAATAATTTAATAAAATCACGAGGGGTTTTATTTTTAATTATTTTGCATGAAACTATTTTCCAAAAAGAAAATCAAATAAAAAACTTACTGAGCATAGTTTGACAGATTAAATTTATAGGTTGAGTGATATACGTCTAGATTATTTCTCTAATTAAAGGAAACTATTTGACAATTCATAAAATCTGACGTATGTGTCAAAATTTATAAATATTTTTTTAAAGAAAATTCCATTAATTTAAGGTATGTAATGAGTAATAATTGATATTTCGTAAACTAGATAACTTATTTTTTATTGTTTTTTAAAAAAATGTTTGTTAAAACTTGTAAATAACACCATAAAATCGTAAACAAAAATCCAATATGGAGGCTAAAATTTAATCCCTGTTAAATAGTTCTAGTGATTTAATCGCTTATTTAAACGAAATTTATTCGAAAATTGAAGGCTTTTGATTGGTTCATATTATAATGAGGGAAATAATCATTTGAAATCGAGTACTAAAAAAGTTTTTTAATTTTTTCCTTGCAACGTAAAACACAAATAACGTGCGCGATTTAGCTGTGCAATTGAATGAAATTTGTCGAGTAAGACTTCTGCCTCTCTTTTTTATAAAAAAAACTACCTATTTATTTAAAAATTATGTATAATCTGTGCTTTAAATGTATTGTTGACAATTCTTAAAATCACGCAATGCATTCGAAGTCCACCAGATGGCGCGCGCGTTGCGAAAACCCGATACTTCTTTAGCGTATACAGCTCAAAAATATTTGTTTCGTTTTAAGCTTAAAATCTGGTTTTGAATCATGCCGTACACTGTTCAAAATTTCATGACCATTTTATCACCAAATTAACACCATACATGGTCTATATCGATACAAACCAAAATGGTGTTAAATAAGGTTCGTTGGTCCAGTGTAAATTTGAATACTAAAATGGTGTAAATTTAACTTTCACACAGTATTAAAATAAATTTTACCTGGTGTAAATTGAACTCCTTTTCAGTGTTAAATATAATGTGTTTTTTGTCAACTTAAATCATCCTACACAGAAAAAAAAGGAAAAAAAGCAAACAGGAAGTTCCTTGACGCATTAGAAGTATATTACCAGTGGTATTATTCCAGAAAATTTAATCTTCAACTCGCTAGAGATAATGTTTTTAGTGCGTTCCACCAACTTAAAATACTTCAAATATTGACAGCTGTTTCCACTTATTTAAGGTATCTTTAGTATCGAACAACTTGTAGTGTCACACCAAAGCAAAGGACTACCTCAGCTTATATACTCTTCATGTAAGTCAACAGAGGCGAGATTTAAGAACATCACGTGATCCACACCGCCTTTGCCGCGATCGGTACACACTATGCACCAATGAATGCACGGCAAATTGTTTTAATCGTTTTAACAGAGTGCTTTAGGTTGAAGTAACTCTTATTTTACAAACAACATATTTAGTAAACTAAAGTTTTCTGGGTTAATTTAACCAATTTAAAAAAAATAAAATAACTATCTGGTTTAGTACCGTCAAACTAATCTTTGTTTATATTAACCTTTCCACAGTTGATTTAAATAAATACTTATGGGTCAACTAAATTAATATAGTTAAATGAACTATTCCTTTTTTTCTGTATAGGTGCACTTCTCAAATATTTTTAGATAAACACCGTTTTGGTGTTTGCAGTATAAAACATTTTCAACCATAATTCATGGTGTTATATTAACACCACTTGGTGTTGGATTTTGACACCATTTTAAGATTACTCTTCACACCACAGATATTTTACAATATTACAATAAAATCAAGATAAATGTAAGTTCCTACATTCTCTAATTGGTTTTTCTTTTATTTTAGGTGACGGTTGCGTGGAAAAGCCTTTGGCCACCCTCTGGCGGAACTACACTCATTCTTCTCGACCGGATGTCCGAATGATTTTAGCGGTCAGCGGTGGAGGATTGAAGGCAACGACCAAAGACCACGGACTGACGGAATACTGGGCGCATCGCCTCACCACCTGCGCGGCACCTGCGCAATTCCCGAGACTGTTCTGTTGGGTGTACAGGCACGAGGGTCGTCGACTCCGCCACGAACTCAGGTGCCACGCAGTTTTATGCTCGACAGCTGCGCTGGCCAAACAAATAGAGGCCGAGTTGAAGGAATCCCTTGCTTTGGCCTTGCTGGAGTTTAAAAGAGACAAGATTTCGAGGCAGAACGCTAGGTTATCGTTGGTCAACTCCGTATACGAAAACCCGACGATCCCGAGAAGAAAGATTTTGCTGAGCACTGGACAAACTAACTACAGGCCTCCTTTGGAGCGGTCGAAGTCAGCGCCCAAGTTGACTAGCATCGAGGAGTTGATTGAGGAGGAGGAGGAGGCGCCGAAGAAGCCGAGACATCCAAGTAGAAAGCTGAAGCATTACGACAGCGCCAGTGCTTTGTTGGATAAAAGGAAAACTGTTCTGGAATCTTATTCCTCCAGACCACAAGTATTTGTACCTGTAACTGAAAGCTGTGATGAACCCGCGGTGAAACCAAGGGAAATTAAGGTGACATTCAACGATGAAATCGTGAATATTTCCTTTGATGAGAAAAGCGATATGATCTTGGAAGAGTTGGTGCAAAGCTCGTTATCAAACGATTTTCTTGTTTCTTGCGAACGGGCCTGGATATCTGCTTTAGGCGAGACTGCAGACTGTTTGCCAGTGGATAGCGATGAAGGTTCTCTGTCGAGTGGGTGCGAATCAGCGAGCACAGTTAACTCTGATGCAAAGCAAGAATCAGCGGAAGAGTCTATTGTGGAAGCCAAACCCGAAAACAAGAAGACTGAATTAGACTTTAAAGTGGGCGGTAGCGTGCTGGCGCGGGTACGAAGTTTCGAAAGAATCGCCAACTCCGATATTTTAAAGTATTGCGGACTGAACACTAACATGTACAGTAATAAGTCTATGTTAGCTCACGAGGAGGTTTCGCTTATTCCCATCGGGGAAAGCCAGACTGATTTCAGTTCGCTTAAGGTTTTCAAAAAGAAAAATTCCACTGAAAGAGTTGCGAATCCCTTCAATGTCGATGAAATTGACGGTAATGGGTCTGAAGAAGAAAATGGTAGTGCTTGTAGTGATGAAAGCGGTTATGAAGAAGAAGAGATAACCAGTTCTGTATCTAATATTATTTTAGTATGATGTTAAACTTTTTTTTTAATAAAACAATTTTTATTCAAAAAATTTAATTTGTTTAACAATTTTTGATTCGGCTTTAGTTAGTTAGAGACTGTACTGATTATGTTATCTTGGTTAAATTACTACTGTTAAATAAAATATATGTTTACTTTAGGGTAACTTTAGTTTTGTATATATTGTAAATAGCTATTTACAATCTAGATTACCTACAGAATATAATGTGATTATATTTGTTATGTAATTTGTTACCATTGTATGGTGTCTTGTTACAATAGTTTTCTAAATATTATTTTATAGAAATTTATATACAATTAATAAAAATTAGTACAAAACAAGTATTTAGTTTTAAAACAAATCCCTACCTATAAAACATTACATATATTTAAACATTATTATAAAACTTTTCTAAAATAATGTTGTTGTTCAATATTTTTTTGGACCAGATTTTCTTTATAATATAACTTTCATAATAAACAATTTTTCTTCGTTCTTCCTTCATTTTAAATTGATCTTAAATAATAATAAATCTGTATGTATATACAGGGTGTCACCTAAAAAATTGTCATCCTTTGGGGGGATGATAGTACATGCCAAAACAAGAAAGTTTTTCCTCAATCATTTGAAGCATTACGACAGCGCCAGTGCTTTGTTGGATAAAAGGAAAACTGTTCTGGAATCTTATTTCTCCAGACCACAAGTATTTGTACCTGTAACTGAAAGCTGTGATGAACCCGCGGTGAAACCAAGGGAAATTAAGGTGACATTCAACGATGAAATCGTGAATATTTCCTTTGATGAGAAAAGCGATATGATCTTGGAAGAGTTGGTGCAAAGCTCGTTATCAAACGATTTTCTTTTGTCTTGCGAGCGGGCCTGGATATCTGCTTTAGGTGAGACTGCAGACTGTTTGCCAGTGGATAGCGATGAAGGTTCTCTGTCGAGTGGGTGCGAATCAGCGAGCACAGTTAACTCTGATGTAAAGCAGGAATCAGCGGAAGAGTCTATTGTGGAAGCCAAACCCGAAAACAAGAAGACTGAATTAGACTTTAAAGTGGGCGGTAGCGTGCTGGCGCGGGTACGAAGTTTCGAAAGAATCGCCAACTCCGATATTTTAAAGTATTGCGGACTGAACACTAACATGTATAGTAATAAGTCTTTGTTGGCTCACGAAGAGGTTTCGCTTATTCCCATCGGGGAAAGCCAGACTGATTTCAGTTCGCTTAAGGTTTTCAAAAAGAAAAATGCTACTGAAAGAGTTGCGAATCCCTTCAATGTCGATGAAATTGACGGTAATGGGTCTGAAGAAGAAAATGGTAGTGCTTGTAGTGATGAAAGCGGTTATGAAGAAGAAGAGATAACCAGTTCTGTATCTAATATTATTTTAGTATGATGTTAAACTTTTTTTTTTAAATAAAACAATTTTTATTCAAAAAATTTAATTTGTTTAACAATTTTTGATTCGGCTTTAGTTAGAGACTGTACTGATTATGTTATCTTGGTTAAATTACTACTGTTAAATAAAATATATGTTTACTTTAGGGTAACTTAAGTTTTGTATATATTGTAAATAGCTATTTACAATCTAGATTACCTACAGAATATAATGTGATTATATTTGTTATGTAATTTGTTACCATTGTATGGTGTCTTGTTACAATAGTTTTCTAAATATTATTTTATAGAAATTTATATACAATTAATAAAAATTAGTACAAAACAATTATTTAGTTTTAAAACAAATACCTACTTATAAACATTAATATAAAACTTTGCTATAATAATGTTGTTATTCAATATTTTTTTGGATCAGATTTTCTTTATAATATAACTTTCATAATAAACAATTTTTCTTCGTTCTTCCCTCATTCTAAATTGATTGATTGATTTAAGATTCTTAAATAATAATAAATTTGTATATACAGGGTGTCACCTAATAGATTGTTCGGAATACGTGTAAATTTCTTAAAATAAATAACTACAAAAATACGAGAACACTTAATTAAAAACCCAAATTATGCATAAAGTTAAACAAACATATACGTATCCGTATACCTATAGGCTAAAGAAGTATCGGGTTTTCGCAACGCGCGCGTCATCTGGTGGACTTCGATAGCATTGCGTGAATTTAAGAATTGTCAACAATACAATCATTTTCAAATAAATAATGACCCATTACATTTTTTTTTCGTCATCATAAAACAAATCAAATTTTGGAAAAACTTTTTTTGTCGATATGAAAAAAATTCAAAATTTGACAATTATTCAAAATTAAAAAAAAAATCAAATTTTCCAAAATAATTAAAATTTTCAAAAAAAACTCAAATTTTAAAATGATTAAAATTTTCAAAAAAATCGAATAAAAAAAAATTAAATTTACAAAAAAATAAAAAAAGTTAAATTGAAAAAAAATCAAATTTTCATAAAAATTCAAAAATATTTTTAAAACCAAAAGGGCGTATGTCTCGAGTAATTCAATTTTTTTTTACAGATCTTGACGTTTTGAACAATTTTAAGTTGAATGGCTCTGAAACATTTTTTTATCCTCCCTTTTTGCACAAAACCCTATCTAACTGCTGTAGTACGCCCTTTTGGCATTTAAAACGCGATATCTTTAGAAGAAATATTTCCCTTAGCTCCATAACTACAACCTATTTTCGTTACAAATATTTCGTATATTATTATGATATCCAATGCATGCAAATCGTGCGAAAATTAAAAAACAAATGTTATCTACAACAAAATAGTACCTATATTCTGTAACAAGTTTGGAATACAGCACATTCCGCTCGAGTGAACCCAGATAGCAAAATGTTGTCACGATGCGCGCACAGTGAGTGCACGCGTGCGCGCAGATCACTACACAGATGCGCTTACATATGCGTCTCATATGCAGCGCACGTGTGGCGGCGCATTAAGAGCGCACATGTGCCGACGCATTTCCAGCGCACATGAATGAGTAACTAAAGTTGTATATTTCAAAAGAAAATGCATATATATATATAACGACGGGTTTTATGCAAAATGGCACAAGCCGTGTTATCGGTTTTTTAGAACGGTCAAATTCCGTAATAGGAGTAGAAAAATTATTATTATTTGACCGTTCTAATATCACTTTTGTCTATGGAATGACATATATTCCGTAAAGTGCTACAGAATGAAATATTCTATCATCTGATTACAGAATAAACACTCTTGGCGACATCTCTGTTTTTAATATCTTAGACCGATCCAACCTCACTTTCTTCCAATTAAATTATTTTTCTATGGTATTTTTTGGAAACGTAGAAAAAGTATAGTCTGAAACTAGGGTTGCAAACTTTCGGTTATTGAAATAAAGGACAAATTGGGATTTTTTTTTGGGTGCTACGTCTACTTTACAGCTTTTCCGATTTTTTTTTTCGGACGAGGTGGTGTAGAAGGGGCACCGCTTGACGTAGATGTCTGTGACTTTGGGACATTATCACTTGCATCGACTTTATCACCATTCATGATGATTTGATTGATGATGTTTAGCAAAAACCTGCAAATAAATAATGATTTGGCATTTAGGCAACTACTTGTTTAAAATAGAAAATGCTACTTTTTATGAATCTGTTTAATTTAATTTTCCAAATAAAGTTTAAAAATATATTGCGACAAAAAACTGAAATCTAATAATATACTTAATTTTAATATTGTATTTTCCACTTACCGTTTCCTGTTAAAAAGTTGTAAAATAAGGTTGAAAAAACACCATACACACAGGGACTAGTCGACTACACACAAGGGCTCAACACAACGAGGAACAAAATAAAAATTCAAGCCCTATTAAAAATGCCATATAGAAAAACAAAATAAAAATCTATCTAGTTCAATATAGGAATTTGAAACAGGCATTGCACTATTGAACCAGATAGAATTCCATACCTGGAAAACCATATAGAAAAGTGATTTCTATATGGATTGCCATATAGGTTCATATTGCTCTATCTGGCCCAATATGGTTTCGGTGTGAAAAAATTATTCCCATATATAGATCCATATTTAACCATATAGGGGAATCTACATGGTTTAATATGCAATTTTCGTTTAAATATATATACATTTTAAAATGGAATTCCATATTCAACCATATAGGGAAACCTATATGGAAAGACACATAAACCAGATAAATCCATATAAAAATGAAATTCCATATTAAACCATATATGGTTATATATAGATTCCAAACCAGGTCGTTCCATGTAGGACATATAGAACCATATAAATCCATATTAGTTTCCTTATCTGGATCAATATGGGTTCTATAGGGCATTTTTAATAGGGAGGTATGCTGGATAAATTGGAGCTCGGGGATTTACCAAAATATTTCAAATGTTTCCAATTTTACATTTTATGGTATTTGTATGGGCCTTTTTTGAAATAATTGTGGATTTATCTGTTTTTCCGGATTTTAAAGGACATTTGCCGTCCTTTGACACCTTTCAAAAGGACAAAGGACAGTATTTAGAAATAAAGGACTGTCCTTTGAAATAAAGGACGGTTGGCAACCCTATCTGAAACACGTTTGGAATTGCATATTCCGCTCCCGTGAAACCGTCAAACTATTCCATACCTGTTAAAAATGAGCAATTACCACATTACTCATTAAACGAAAAAAAATGGGTAATGTAAATTAATTTCATTACTCATTATGATAAAAATGAGAAATGAAATATCATTGCATTAAAAAAATGCGTTTTTTGCAACTCTAGTTTTAGGCTAAATCTTCATTCTTCAGTCAGCGCGTATGACCAATTATTAATGAAACACCCTGTATAAAAATAAAAACTGGTTAAGTGTGGAATACAAAACCAAAACATTTATTAGTTCAGGTATTTTATAATCTGTGGATATTGTATGTAAATTTTAATACCTGCAATAAATATTTATTATTTTAAAAGTCATAAAGCGATGAAATATTTCAAATCAAAACCGGAAACTACCTGAATGGCGCTTATGTTCTGTGATTGGCGCTGATGCACTTTTGACATGCGCATTTCAACAAATGGAAGAGAATCGGTAATTTGCGAAGTGACGCCACCGCCGTCCATTTTGAATCGAGTCTTTGTTGAAGTAGCCGTGCTGTGGTGGTTAATTGTTAGTTTTTGACGAATATATATTTGTGGTAAGTAAAATTATAAGGTTTTATGAAGTGCAGAGTGCTTTATTGCATCTAAAACTAAAGTTAGTTCAACTAAATCGAGTTTATTAAAATACCGCTTGCCGGCATTTTTCCATACCTTCACCTTGAAAGATTAGATGTTTGTTCGAGCGTAGATGGTAATTAGATTAGTGTTTA